AAGGCTTGGGGTTTACGGTTTAGGGTTGTTTCCATGACATGAACGCCGTCTTCATGATGGTTAACTGTAGCATGTTGTGGCGTCTGATGCCTGCTGAAGGGCTCAAAGTACATAGGTATTCTGCTCAAGGAAGAGCTGTGATACTGTATCGTGGCATATCATCTCTTATAGTTGTCGTAGCTCCACTTACAGCCTACTCTACTCCCTAAACCCTAAACCCTGAACACTAAACGCTAAGTCCCCTACCGGGCCTCCAAATCCTGGAGGCCCTTCCCAGGTAATTACCACGATCCTGCAGCGCATAAAGACCCCAATGCCTCTAATAAGGGTTCCATTAGGGCTCTATAAGTTATATACGGGTTTCTATGACCTTTAGACTCCAAGGACTCGTATTTTGAGCCCAAGACCATATCATACTGTACCAGCATTGTTGGGCCATTTTGAGCCTTAGGATAAGCCCTAAACCCTGAACCCCTAAACCCGGAACTTCGTATAAGGGTAAGCCCTACATAATATCCTAAGGTTCCCGAAGCCCTAAACCCTATACCAGGTTGCAGCGGCTAGCACTATGAGATGCAATGCTGACTGCTAAGCTCCCAGCGCACCATTGTGGGAAATGTTTAATCGGGGTGTAGGTGTGAAGTGTAAGGGTCTGGGTTTAGGGTTTAGGGTTTGGGGTTTAAGTTTAGGACTTTGGGTTTAGGGGGCTTTCTTTGCTTTTTGCTTCCCAAAGGGTCCATGTGCCCAAATAGTACGTATATACTTTGGCCTCGAAGTAGTCCCTATTTGGGAACTTTGGGGCCAACGCATATACTATTTGGGTACATGGACCCTTTGGGTTCAATCAAGGTGTAAGTTAAAAACTAGGAAATCATGTCATGTTTGGGCCTCAGCTACAATCAATGTACTGCAAAAAGAATGCAACGGAACGACAAAGCTACCAGTTTCGTGTTGCAGACGTAGGTGCACCGTCCACGACTCTGAGTACACATAACTCCAAAGAGTTGGACGCCCGAAAGCTCGTGCACTTGCTGTGCTGTTGACTTATGCTTTTGGGTCATGGGTCAGAGAATTAGAAGGATTGGAAGTTTAGGGCTTAGGGTGTTTTTAGGGTTTAGGCTTAGGGTTCAGGGATTTAGAAGTGTTAGAAGCTCCCATCACAGAATTGGTGATAAACAGTAACTACATCAGTGAAACCCATCAATCAAAGCTTCCCAGATGCCACTCTGCAAGCCATGTCCGACCCTCAACCCTGAACCCCCTAAACCCAAAAGCCCTCAAAACCCCTAGACCCTAAATATAAAGCCCCTAAACCCTAAACCCCTAAACCCTGAAGTAAACCCCAATCCTGAACTCCTTCGCCTGCAAGGGGCTTTGGGAAAGTACAGGGTCCCCTTCATAGCCACGAGCAATGGAATTCAAAGAGCCCTCACAGAGCGAACAAATCCGTTTTCAGGGCTCCTTGCCATGATTTGCTTAAGCAGTCCTTGGTAGGTTGGTTGGGGTTAAGGTAGGGCTTAGCTGCAAGATTTACTTGGGAAAGCCCCGATGAAACTGAACACTAAAGCCTAAACCCTCAACTCTAAACCCTAAACCCTAAACCCCTAAACCCCTAAACCCTAAACCCTAAGTCTAAACCCTAAACTCTAAACCTGGGCGGGATGCAGAGACTTCTTGGCATTCTCACCGGCCTGGTCGACACGGCGAGGTATTTGGGGCCATTCGAGTTTGAGGGTTCAGGGTTTAAACCGACAATCTTTAAACCCTAAACCCTAAAGCCGTAAACCCTGAAAGGACAGGGCATAGGACTGAAGGCTGAACACCTGGGGCTTGTCGTTTAGGTTGTTGTGCTAGCTTCCCCTTGGCTAGTAACTGGTGCTGGAATAAAGGTCTTTCTAATTAGAGTAGGGTGTCGAGGAGGTATGTTACACTGTGACTAGAATGGGAAAAGGGAACAGTTTGCTACTTAGTCCGACACCTACATTATTAATTACCTATCGTCTCCATGTAATTCCTTTTTTTGAGGGGTTCCCTAGACCCTAAAATGTAATACTTTTTGTTGGTTACCTAAGTTTCTAATCATAGAATAAGGTATCCAAAAAAAGATACTACATTCAAGGGTCTAGGTGCCTTATAGAATCCTAAATCAAAAGTAGGAACCTCAATGGAGACTCCAGGGGCTGCAAGGGTTTCCGGGGCATGAAAGGCGACTCTCGGAACCCTAAACCCTAAACCCTAGATACCGGATTGGGGTTTGGGGGTCCAGGAGTTTAGGGGTTTAGGGTTTAGGAGTTGAGGGTCTAGGGTTTAGGATTTCGGGTTGAGGGGCTTAGGGTCTAGAGTTTAGGCTGTCGGATTTAAGGGCCTAGGGTTTCGGGTTTGGGGTTTAGGGTAGGGTTTTGGGTTTACTTAGGGTTTCAGGGGTCGCTTTAGAAGGACCTAAGACCTAAGACTACAACAAGGGACCCTATACCCTAAACCCTAAACCGTGTGTTTTTTCCGCAGCGTTGTTGTTGGCTCATCCTGAGGTTACCTGCG